CGGACCAACCTTCTCACCAAAACTACTCAAAACCCTCTCAACAATGAACATGAAGGCAATGCATTCCTGCGACATGTACTGGAGGGCATGGAGTTCAGCTTCGCAGGATGACAGACAAACAACCCCTTGCGTCTTCGCAACCAACCTAACCAGACTACCAGCAAAGCAAATCGCACCCCCAGTGATGCCCCGTCGATCAAGAAATCGATATGGAGCATATGACGCATCAGTAAACACATGCACTCGTTTCAGAAGGTCACTCCAAGAGCACTGCAGAAAGTCTTCGGACAATCCTGAGGAAGGAACCTGATGAACAACGTTACGATCACAAATCAAGAACCTAAGGATGGCTCTCAGCGCTTGCTCTGTTGACGACGTGGGTTTGCTCTGTTGCGTGGCTATCAAGGTCAACATGAGCTTGAGGTCTTGTCTCGTCTGCGCATACCAAAGTAGTCTACCCAAGGTTCTTCGAAACTTGCTGTATGCTTCAGGTGACAATTCGGGCCCTGGCTTCTCGAGCACCGAAGCGATGTCTGGCACCGCGTTGGAACCCTTTGTGATCCCATAGCTCTCAAAGCATGGGTTGAGGTACTCTTTATCGATGCTCAACTCAACAGTTTGAGATTGAGGCCAGCGCCTGAGGATCCTGCCAAGAAATGACAAAGTGCCCCCTCCTGCATAAGACGGGTATATGTGTCCTGTCACTTTGACAGTAACCCGTTTGCCGATAGCAGCAAGAATAGCCTTTTCAAGCTCCTCATGCTCAGACACAACCAGAAGGTCATCAACATAAGCTACCACAAGAGCGCGGCCAGTACGGGCCTTGGTCTTAACAATCCCTGTGAACAAACACGGCTCTCGATCATCACAGTATAGACCAAGAGGTTTGATCAAACTGGTTAGCAGACGGAGCCATGCGAGGGAGGCTTCACGCAAACCATTCAAGGCACAGTACAGATAAAAGTACGCTGGAAGCCCATTCAACAAGCTCACTGAAAGTGGCAACTTTAAGATGACTGGA